ATCACAGTGATTCACACACTTTACTTAGGCTTGACTCGATTATCTCAATCTTTAATCTCTATATCTATCCCCTTCTGCTTTATTTGCCGGGCTTATATACTAAATACTAAAAAGAGGGTGCCTGGAACAGACTAGAGTGTCAGGATTATTCAAGATTCTTCGAGAATCTCATGACGTGTTACCAGCATCACGTGACTTCCGCTGTCGTAACAGTATATTTAATTTACTTTTATTTTGAGTAAATGGTGTACAAGATATTTATAACTGTATTAAATCAGTACATAATATATATTAAGGAGACAACTTTTCAGAGCCAATGATACATATTAGACTGGCTACAAATGTCCCATGATAGCTTCATCCAATTGCAAAAGTAGACTCATTTAGAAATGCTTGGACACTAGGTAGAAACCAATCTGCAGCAGTTTGATAGCTAAACTGTGAAGAGCATGTGTTGATGAGGTGCTTACTATATAAAGGAGGTTTAAACTTCATTAGTAATAATAGGAAAACTAGTTTTGAAATTAATTAAAAGTAATTTGAGAAGACAGCAGTTTATAGAATTATCTTAAAAGTTGCTTGGTTTAAATATAAAAATGCATACCTTGAACATTTCCCTCCATAAAAGTGTCTGATATGGAGAAGTTGGCTGAGGTTAAAGAAGATGACAGTAGTTTCACCTCGACTCCTTGGAAAGGTGCTGTATTGGAATTGATATTTATGTACACACACATCATAAACAAATAAAAAATCTGCACAAATTGTAGCTTTAATCTAAAACTCTTTGTAGACCTAGAACACTGATATGGTGTTCATTATGTATTATACATGAAATATTATAATATATTATTAGAACACTGATTATTAGTATATGTGTGTATGTGTATATGATCATGGAAATATGTGTATATAAATATATATAAACATTTGATGTATCTATAATAACAAAAGGGTGTGTCTGTGTGACCACCATAGCTCCAAGAGAAAAGAACCTAGAAACTTGAAATTTTGCACCCATACTAAGTGGACCCAGAGGGTGTGCACTTGGGTGTTATTACTTATCCACATGTATATCAGTTAGATTAACAACTTCTAATATATAGAAAAGTCGGTGCATTCCAACAATGGCCTTTATGTTATGTCGCTTAGCAACAAAAGTATAATCTATTATTGTTGTTAGTCTATGTACTGAAAGTATAAAATGAAATGCATAAACAACAAAACTGGAAAAATATTTGTTGATTTCTTAATATAGAGTCTGTTGATTCAAGAGGTTTGTTACTTATTATAAACGTTTGTGATATAACAGAAAATACCTTAATTGAGAAACAATTTTAAGTTTAAACCTCGATCAGTATTTTTACTTTCATGATAAATTTTATGCATTTGTTAAAATATATCAACCTAATAACCTGTGCAAAGCTGGATACTTTTACTAGTAACAAATATTTAAAAAAATCGTGTTTACAGGATTATTGTATGGTGATTCAGGATTGGGAAAAACATTTTTTTGTTCTATTGACTAACAAAAAAGACAATTCCCCAAAGTTACCTAAATGAATTGAGTTAAATAGCAGATTTGTTTATACTCATCTTCTGATAATGTTTCAAGGTTCATCCTCATACATATTCTACATATTGTGGTTCATCTTTAACATCATCATTGTGAATAGTACTGAGGATAATTTTAATTTCTTCGCATTGTGTTATTAGTAGTTATTGTATTTAAATCAAACATGCATATTTATTTTAACCAATTTTTGCACAGATTACTAAACTCTATCCTCTAAGCAAATGACGTTATTATTTTCTTAAATACCCTTTAAGTCAGAAGTTGCGTGAAAATGCAGTTATCTTCATAGTACACTCATAAAGTCAGTCACTCGGTATACATTAAAACTCACTGAAACGTTACACAAAGGCATCATGTTTCATGTATGCTAACATAAAATACAGTTGGTTATATATTATTGTAAGAAATAAAATTATTTAAAAGAAGATGCATTTTATTTTATAACAAGATGGTTGAACTAGTATATATGTATATATAAACAGTCATGATACCACTTATACAAATGATTATCTATGTAACACAATGTTTACAAAGTGTACTTTTTTTGGGGGGGGGGGCTTATAACACCAAGTGTAAAGGTAAAAACTGAGAAACAAAAACAGAGTAATTATATGGCCACAGCTGTTTCAACACATCTTATAAGTGGTGTGAAAAGAACTAATACTATTAAATTATTTGTTTTGGCCAATATCATGATTGTTGGGGAAGGATAGTTTGTACTTTGGCTCTGCTAGATAACATGGTCAAACATCCATTTTGAAAAAAATATGGCCCATATCATGGCAGATTTTTCAATAAACACCCTAATTTATTGCATTAAAGTAAAGAAGAATATTTTAAGAGTAAAAATAATTTGAATAATTAAGCACATGAAAAAGATTTAGAAAAAAAATTAAAAATATATTTATATACAGTTAATGGGGGGAAAAAAAAGCTATTTATAAAATATGGAGTAATAAACTTAAAATAAGTCCCAAAATTCAAGAGCTTTCCAATAGTTGACTATTCTTTTTCAGGAGAACAAAGAGGAAGAATAGTCAACTGATCGAAAGCACTCAAGTTCTGGGTCTTATTTTAAGTTTATTACACTTTATATGTGATCTTTTGTGCTGATTCTTTTATCAAGAAGTGTAAAATATGGAGGACGTTTGACCATCATAGTTTCAGCTCTAATTGCTAATTTTTGATAGTGAAAGTTTTACCGAAGCTAAAACTAACTTGTTTTAATGTACTGGTGTCATGGGGATTCATTTCATTTTTAATGTACTGGTGTCATGGGGATTCATTTCATGTTTAATGTAATGGCAGAATAGGGATTAGTTTTATGTTTGATGTACTGGTTGTGTGGGTTAGTTTCATGTTTATCATAATGGCAGTGTTGGAAATACATTTTATATACAGATTCACACAAAAATAAGCTCCTTAGATTCCAGATGCTGACAGGATTGGGATTAGTTTCATGTTTAATGTAATTATTAGAATGGGGACAGTTTCTTGTTTAGTGTGCTAGAGCATGGGAATGGTTTTATGTTTAATGTACTGGCAGAATGGATAGTTTTATGTTTATTGTACTGATAAGATGGAGATAGTTTCATGTTAAATATACTGACAGCCTTAGCATAGTTTCCTGTTTAACATAATGACAGCATGGGAAACACATGTTTTACATACATATTCATGCACAAAATATATTACTTAGGTTCCAGATTAAAAGTGCACATTCTTCACAAACAGATTTATAAAATATGTGCCCACTTCCTACACAATGGAATATTCAATTTTTAAAAGTCATCTCAAAACATGGACAAAACTTGTTTTAAGTAAGTTTAATGCACACTTTACCAGCCTAAACAGGTTTGGAGATCCTGTTTCTAGTTCTTAAGCCACTACAAAACAAAATAGGATAGATAAAATTTGTACCTTGCATGTTCAAAGAATATGTAATTTCGTCAGCACCATGTTTATTGTGTACATGACAGGTATAGTTGTCGGTGTTCAGATATTGAAGTTTTCTGATATATAGTGACCCATCTTTCTGCACTTCGATCTGTTCTGATTTAATGAATGGCTTGCTCCTAGAACGAAACAAATGGTGAATCAAAATCACACACTTTCACTTTCCTAAGAGTTTATACAGGCATGTCTAATCAAATAAATTAATATAATGCAAAATTTATTGATGCACATAACTAAATGGCCCAGGGTCGTGGGTTCGAATCCCTATCACACCAAACATGCTTGCCCTTTCAGCCGTGGGGGCATTATAATGTGACAGTCAATCCCACCAATCATTGGTAAAAGAGTAGCCCAAGAGTTGGCGGTGGGTGGTGATGACTAGCTGCCTTCCCTCTAGTCTTACACTGCTAAATTAGGGACGGCTAACACAGGTAGCCATTGTGTAGCTTTGTGCGAAATTCATAACAAACCAAACCACATAATTAAAACATTTGTATTGAGGCTTTTAATGCTTGAATATACCTACTGTGCAATGTTATGCTAAATTTTGTTGGGTCTTGCATGAATAAATACTGTTACTGAAAGTTGAAATACCTACCCGATTGTCCATTTTCGTCCGGGTTCTGGGTGGCCAACAGCATGACACGGTAAAGAGACCTTGCCACCAAAAGGAACTGTTAAAGTCCGACCAAAGTTGATAATCCTTGCTGGTACTACAAAGATAAATGCCACAAATTAAATTTGGCAATATGCAATGTCATACAGATCTATCAAAATAACTTAAACACAAAAAAATCATATCACAAACCAGTTCTGTTAATTGGCTTCAAGGCCTCTTGGCATTTACATTTGATCTTTTTAGGTAATAACCACTCTCTATAAAACACACTGGGAATGAAGAAGAGGGATACAAGCTAAATATTTGTAATCATGAATTTTTCTGCAAGAAGACATAATTCTACATTAAAATACATTTATACATGTGTATTTTTAATTCTATTGTGTTATATTTGTAATTATAAATAAGCATGTTTCTGTTTGCTGTTAAGTGCAAAACTACAGAATAGGCTATCTGTGCCATATTTTGACAATAGAAAATAATTCTATCTTCTAGAAGACATAAAAGATCAGAAATATGTGGACAAAACATTACATTACAAATATATATGTGTTTTTATAATCCTGTTGTATTGTTTTTATAATTGTAAATACGTTAAGCGCAAATCTACAGAATAAGCTATCTGTGCTGTGTTCATTACAGGTATCAAAATCTAATATTTAGCATTGCAAGTCCTCAGACTTACTGCTGAGTCACCAGGGGGATCATAAATCATGCTAGAACAATAATACTGATCAATTCTACTTCTCTTTTAAAACACAAAGAAAAAATATTTGTTTTAAAATATTCTAGAAAATTTACTAGATGAACAGTATAATTAATGTGAATTAATTCCAGTAATCGTGAGCAACTGTAGCACCTCTTCTAGTTGTTGTCTGTGATACAACTCGGGTAGGATCACCTTCCCCTCTATTCGTTGATGCAGTCACCCAGAACTCGTTCCTTGAACTTTCTTGCAAGCCAGAGACTTTGTAATCGAGTTGTCCAGCTTGAACCTGGATGACAGTAGCATTCTGTGCAAAGTAAAAATTGGTAGAGATAATTTGAAACAATATTAGAAATCCTGTGTAATTTAAAAAAATGAGGTTCAAACCTAGGGAGTTAAAACTATTAATGCAATGTGATATTACAGTGGAATTTCATAATATACACAAATTTCATCTATTTGGGATTTGTGTATGATCATGTTTTTTACTCTTATTGTTCAGAGTAGTTGTACTTTTTAAACATGATTCTCAAGAACTACTTAGCATTACAATTAATATTGAGTTTTTAAATTCAAGAACTGTCAGGATGCATCAATTTTGTAATTCCATTGTACACATTTTCTTATAAACTTTGAAAATATAATTAGCTTAATTCAAAACTAGGCAATAAAATGATCATGTATGATTAACAGTGATTAATTAATTAATTAATATGATTAATTTTTCTCTCATTTTCAATGTTGTATTAACAATTACAGGAAATGTAGTATTGAGCAGATTTGTGTACCTTGTAGCCATTAGCTGTACTCCGCCAGAACAGAGAGTAATTTGTTATGATTCCATTTGGTTGTGATGGAGGTTTCCATACAACCCAGATAGTATCTTTAGACACAACAACAGCTTTGATATCTGCTGGAGCACTTGGTGCTGTAATGATCAAAATGCATGGCATTACCACAAACAGTCTTTAACAATTTTCCAATGGTACATAGTACTTAAAAAAATCAACTCTAAATTAAAAACAAACCAAAAAATTAAAAGCTGATGTAATATGAAACTTTTGAGTCTAAAGTTGCTGTTAAACGATTTAGTTTTTTGAAACCAACGCATTTCTTTTGGTGAAAACTTTCTTAAGTTTAATAAATTTTTTTAAGGTGTTATTTTTGTTTAATTTTCAAGTTGAAAAGTGAATCATAACTTAATATTTATCATAGCATCTTATGACTTTAGAAATGTAGCTAAATCCATAGTTCAGGTTTATAAATTTAAGAAAACAAACTATCAGGTTTATATTCTACAAAATGTTACCTAACTCCAAAATTGGTCCCAGACCCAGTAACATAAGTGTATTACATTTCATGAATCCAACACTGCTTGTAAGTGGGTCTCAAACCCAGTAACACCAGAGGTATTATATTTCATTAATCCAACACTGTTTGTAAGTGGATCCCAGACCCAGTGATGCAAGGTATCACATTTCTTGAATCCAACACTGCTTTCAAATGAATACCAGACTCAGTGACACAAGGGGTATTATATTTTGTAAATCCAACACTGCTTGTAAGTGGATCCTAGACCCAGTGACACAAGGGGTACTATATTTCTTGAATCCAACATTGATTGTAAATGGATCCCAGACCCAGTGACACAAGGGTATTACATTTCATAAATCCAACACTGCTTGTAAGTGGATCCCAGACCTGGTGACACAAGGGGTACTATATTTTTTTCTTTCTATTATTTTCCATAACAAATATTTAGGGTTTCAGTTAATAATAAAACTTGCAGGTTTCAGATCTGAAACAAGATGTTTCAATGCTTTTTGACAATGTGACTGATATAAAGTTACTTTTCATTATAAATTGTAAAGTAGTTTTTGTTTATGTTAATCATAAGGACTCCAACTTGGGACATGATGGTGGGTAAAACAAAATACATGGCCTAGCTAACTGATAAATGAACATGTGTTGTCAAATTCTTATCAATGCTATAAATGTAGCTACCAGTTTGGTCACCAATTTCGATTTCATTCCTCTAAGTCACATGCTCAATCTTTTTCTTGGCCACACCTTTTATTCATACCTAAGAAGTTTTTGATTAGGTATCATGAATTTTTGTTAATACACACCAACAAGCTACAGCAAGTAAGAAAGTGACACTTGATAGTAACCAACATTAGCTTTAAGATTGCAACCCTATTATTTGGAACAGATCTTTACTTTATAGAATCAAACAGATTCTCTAAAATATATGGTGGTAGTTTTTCCTCTCTAAAATAGTGTTAATAACTTCCTTTATTAGTAATGCCATGGAATCTAAATTAACAGTTTCTTGTCATCACCCGCATGCAGTTGGTACAGCCGTATCAAGCATCATTATTTACATTAATATCATGTAATGCTAAATGATCTTTAGTTAGGAAAATTTTGTAAAATTTAGCAAACTTGTACTTAAAAGTTGACAATAGATAATGAATAATATCTGTCCACCCGTATGATTCTTTTGAAAACTTGAGCTAGAAACTGCTAATCTAGTTTGCTTGGCCTAACTAATACTTATGTATCTGCACGTTCTTTCACCCTGTAGTTTTGCTGCTCTAAATCAGCTGTCTTTAATCCAAATGACAAAAAACTAAAAACGGTCCACTTTCAGACTAATAGCTCACATAGATGCGCACAAACATTTTGGTGAAAATTGAGTGTTTTTTGTTGAATAACTTTGCACATGTAGCTTATATTGAGTCCAAATTTGACATCTAAATGTAGGTTGTAAAGATCTACCAGTTAACCAAATTTGAAAAAATCCACAAAAGTTAAGTATGTTTTTCTATCAAATAAGGTTTCTGCAGTCTCGGTGAGTAGAAAAAACTAAAAAATTCAATCAAAATTGGGGATTTTATATCTTGTGTATTACTTAATGAATTGCATTGAAATGTGGTATGTGAAATACGGGTCCAGAAGAGCAAATCCACTGAAACTGTGTGGTAGTTTGGATTACCACAGTCTGACCTACAGAAAGTGTAAAATATCTAAACTATCACTCCTGTTAATAACACACAGTGTGTCCTGCAGGTTGTTCTTTTGCTGCATGACACACTAGAGTGTGTTGTGATTGAACAGTATATCTGTTCTACAAATTCATGTATAATACATATTAAAAAGAATATGTATTCCAGTAATTCATGTTTATAATACATAGTGAATGCTATATATCATTGTCCCAGTAGTTAATGTTTCAAACATAATGAACATTATGTCAGTGTTCCAGTAATGCATGTATAATACACAGTGAACAATGTGTGTTCTATTAATTCGTATCAGTGTTGTAGTAATTCATCTTTAATACACAGTGAACACTATCAATGTTCTAGTAATGCATGTATAATACACAGTGAACACTATACATGATCTGGTAATTCATATATAATACATATTGAACATTTAACATGTTCTAGTAACTGATATATAACACATAGTGGACACTATTTGTGTTCTACTAATAAATGTAAAATATACACAGTGAACACTATGTGCTCTACTAATTCATGTATAATACATAGTAAACACTATATCTGCTATATGTACCAATAACTATTGTATAACATATAGAAAAAAATACTATATCAGTGTTCTTGTAATACATGTATAACATTTAGTAAACACTATATCAGTGTTCTAGTAATACATGTATAACATATAGTAAACACTATATCAGTGTCCCATTAATTGATGTACATATAGTTAGCACTATATTTGTGTTCTAGTAATTCATGTATAATACCTAGTTAACACAATACATGCTCCAATAATCCATGTATAACATATAGTAGACACTATATTAATGTACTATTAACTGATGTACATATAGTTAGCACTATACATGTTCTGGTGATTCATGTATAATACTTACTGATCTCTATATATTGATGTTTCAGGAAAGTAAATGAGAATGTTTTCATAATGGAATCTTTTCCAACAGTATGTTTTTATTTTTATCATTTGTACATCAGTTAAATGTTGAAGTCATAGCATTATACTGCTTAATTACTAAAAGTAGTCAATCAAAATGTATTACCATGACAAAAAAATTGGATTTGTTATTAACCAAAATTATAAATGTATGTGTAAAGATAAATGTGAAGAAATAATATAATGTTTATGTATAAAATATTTTACAGATTTTTGACTGTATGGCTTTATACATATATTTAAAGAAATCAAACTAAATAATCAAATTATTCAGTTCTACATGATTGCATCTTTAACAATACACATAGTTCTGTATTTAAAATATTGTCAAAGTTGCAACATAAAAATTTATCATCAGATTAATTGGACATGTTGATATTTTACTGCAGTGTAAGTTCAGTCACTTTTGGCTTTTAATATTTATACATCTTGTCTACCATGGAAAAAAAAAGAGAAAATATTGTTAAATTCTAATAAACTCTGTTTCTCTGCCACATTTGACTCTGGAAGTCACATTTCAACATATTAACTTCAAAGGTTTGGAGAATATTTTAGGTTACATAAATTCATTCTAATTCAGTATGTCAAAGGAAAACCAGTGAACATAGATTCATATTTACTACATGATGCCATGTTTTAGCTATTCTTTTGATTTTGTACAGAAGAATTTAATTCATTATGTACATGGAAGCAAAAAATTAAAACCGACATTACCATCTTCTAGTGTTCTGCAGAAAATGGGGTTAGACTTTACCCCACTACCCTTTTGAGTATAAGCCATTACAGCTATGCTGTAGTTTGTAAACTTCTGCAGATGAGTTAGTTTGGCTTCTTCCCTTGTTACTGTTCTCTCTTCATAGCCTGTAGCAGGTTTTTCTGTAATAATAAGAATATAAATAATATCTGGAAATCTAATGATAAATTTGTAGCAACTTACTACTTACTAACATCAAGTTGAACAGAATGATCAAACATAATTTTTTGTTCTTAATTTATGTAATTCTGTATAGATTTTTGTATGTTATTACATATCAACAAAGAATAAGGACAAAAAAGGCTTCAACTGACATTTTGACTCATTTTCAACAGGAGGGTTTTACATGGCAATGTCAATGTGAATATTACTTTGTGTGAATTTAGTCAAACTAATCTTAAGATTCGATGACGAGGAACCCACTTTGAGACTAATAATGCTTGTAGACGACTTGAATGGGTAATGAAGAAAAACTTTAATATAAGTTTAACATAACAGCAAATGTCAGTGTAAACTACTTGTACCTGATGATGACAAAAAATGAAGAAAAACTTTAATATAAGTTTAACATAACAGCAAATGTACAACATTTCGACAAGGATGGGTGACCAGAATGATGAGGACAGAGGGTGCTGTAGTCTGCTATCAACAATCTTAAGATTGATAATGCTTGGAGACGGCTTGAATGGGTATAGGAGTTAGGAAAGTAAGATATATGCCTTTCTTAGTTATATTTTATGTATTTTTTTGAAGCTTCTGAAAAAAACATTAAATTCTTGGAAAAGTGCACATTTTTCATAATGAATGTGTTAGTTTTGTAAATTAACTGCATATATTAACTGCATATATGTAATAAGCTGCATATATATATACTCAAATGCATAGTTAACACATTTTGTTAACACTGTTTTTGATAGTTCTGTTGTTTCAATACATATATATTTTTATGATATTACCCTGGAACGTTTTTAAGTTGTTTTTATTTTTTTAAGAGTTCTTACATGTGTTTAGCAATTTACATAAATTACCTAGAAACAACTAATAGTATTCTAGTGTTCTAATATGGATAAGTAGTGGCATATTTAATGTTGGTGCAAATTGGGGCAACACACCAATGGTCCCCTGATGTTGCAGGCCTTCAAAGTAATGCAAAAAATAAACTTGTAAATTTTTACACCTATAGCTGATCAGTAAAGATGGGCCTCCTAAGAAAGTTGCACCGAGTAATTTGAAGTGTTAAAATTGCCTCTGTAGATAAGTATATAACTCAGACATTAAAATGATTTTTGTTGCTTAAATTGACTTACATTAAAAGATCAGAAAAACTCGCATAATTTTTATGTCTCTTTCCTTTTAAACAAATCAACTATTTAAAAATGTATATTAGTTTACTGCTTTTTTATGCTGTTAAGTTGACAAAGGAATGGCTGAACCATACAAAGGGAGAGAATTACATTAAGTTTTGAAAAACAAACAAAATAAAACAAGGTCTGGTGTTTAAAATCTAGAGAATATTTGAGTTTAACTGCATTATGTTGTTGCAGTTTAATTAACTTGTATAAAAGTGTCAGACACCATTCTTACACTATTGACAAACTTGTCAGTGATGTAACACCTGTAATGATACAGCCATGCTAATATATAATAAGTACTTTGAAGAAAGTATTTTGTTTCTTCTGTATTCAGTGCCTTTAGTAATAACCATAGTAAGCTATTAGATTTGCCCACCACTGTGCATACCAGTAAACTGAAACTTTGTATCTTAAAAAACGTTAAGTACGACTATCACCAGACTTATTCTGAGCAATCACTATCTTAACTTTGTAATTAAAGTATATTTAATAACAAGCACGTTAACAGCACCATCAGCAAAAAATTTACTTAAAACTGTAATCAAACTATGCCCTCGAAAAAAAAAAGAATGCAATACTGAAACCAGAAATTTATGTTTCTTGATAATCAGCAACCATTTAGGTTTGTTGTTTTCAAACTGAGCTGCATGATAAATGTTACTCTTAGGATTAGGAGCTATGGACTTTGTAGTTTTAACTCTTAATAGCTTAAAGTCAATAATTTGGGATGTCCTCTTAATTCCTTGTTGCCTCACCAACTCTCCTAATCCAACCTTCTTATCTCCAATCCATTTTCTGATGTCTTCAAGCCACATGAGTCTTTGCCTGCCCCTCACTTTTGTTCCTTTGATTCTACCCATCAAAATTTCTGCAACCTTTTCTAAGGTTTAATTATATTTTATGTTTCCTACAGATATCAAGCAGTTGTCTTTTTGTCTGCAACCTTCCCTAAGGTCTAATTATATTTTATGTTTTCTACAGATATCAAGCAGTTGTCTTTTTATCTGCAACCTTCTGTAAGATATATTTATATTTTATGCTTCCAACGGATATCAAGCAGTTGTCTTTTTGTCTTTGCATGTTCCAAAACTTCCTCATTAGTTTCTATTTTTGTATAGCTGATCTTCATCAATTGTCTATAACACCACACTTGAAATCCTTCCAACTGTAACATTTTATTCAACAGATAGGGTCTACATCTCCACAACATACAGTAGGACTGGCCATATGTAACATTTTATTCAACAGATAGGGTCTACATCTCCACAACATACAGTAGGACTGGCCATATGTAACATTTTATTCAACAGATAGGGTCTACATCTCCTAATTTGTACTTTGACATCTCTACTGAGCAATCCCTTGAGATTAAAGAATGCTGTTTTTTGCCATAACTATTTGTTGCTTTATCTATCTTGCACATTTTCCATCACTACTGATATTGTCCCTAGACAAGAAAACTCTCTTAATTGTTCCAACTATTTGATGCATGTTCTAGGAACTTTCTCAAGTTGTGAAATTACCATTGTCTTAGTCATTGTATCTGTTCCTCAAATTCACCCTTTTGTACTGTATTATCAGCATTTTCATTATTTCAAATTCCATTTCCATTAACCTTAATTTCTTCTGTATCAGTAATTACCTCTTTTATCAACCACAGTGCTTACAAATTATGTCATATGGATGAAAGCACACATCCTTGTTTTAAGCCTCTCTTATCTACAAACCACCAATCTTATCTCTCTGTCAGTTCAAGTTGCTGGTTCCTAATTTCATTATAAGTTATTCAGGATTCTGATAGCTATTTAATCTTCCTCAATTTGCTGTCAAATGTTTTTTCAAAGTCTGTGAAACATATATATATAAAGATTTCTTTGTTCTTCTTTCATCTTACATTCTAAAACAAATATGTTTCATGTACTCCAAACTCTTCAAAAAACTACTTTGGTCTCCTGGCAACTCATTCTCAGCCTTATGTTTAACTCTGTTGAGGATTACTTTTAGCAAGGCTTTTGAGGGATGAATGATCAAGCTGGTAGTCTTGTATTGGCCATATTCTGTATTCTTAGCTTTCTTGGGTGTCAGTACAAAAACGTATCTTTCATAGTCTGTTGATACTATCCCTCCACTATAAATTGAATTAAAAGTTGCAGTACAGTATTTAATCTCTAATACGAACATTTAAAATAAAATTGCTGTAATTTTCCCTCTGCCACAAACTTTTCCATTTTTAAAATTTCTAATGGCATAATAACTTTATTAAAAACATTTAAACAAAATATGCTTGCTGTGTACATTATTTCTGTTAATATAGAAATGAGTTGTACAAGTTTTTCATTTCAGTATAACTCATGGTGTAACATTGTTGTTATGTGACTCACTAAACCTAATATTTGACATAGCCGAGGGTGGACTGTATCGGTGTACATTTGTGTGTAAGTTCACAGTAAGAACTATAAAGACAAAATGAAATGCATTTTTATTTATGCAAAGTTATTATGGTGTTACTTCTTTGTTTTAATATGCTCAGTTGCTGGCTTCTTTTTTTTTCAAAAAAAAACATGCAAGTGACTGAGATACCTAATCTATATATGTTAGTATATTGTTCAAGACTGGAAATTTGAATTCATTTCATTGGAAATGTTATCTTTTTGAATTAGATTTGAAACTGTGATGACACAACAGAATTTATTCTACAATTTATATTACCATTAATATTATTCATAAGTTATTTTTCTGGTCCCATGAAACACATAGAACTTGATCACGTTCTGCCTGTGCTCCGATGTAACATGATGCAAGCAGTAATGTGGTTAGAACGGAGGTTTAGGGAAGAGTATTATAGTTGACTTTGCTTAAGGTGGGTGAGAGAGAGCAATACCTTCCACTGGTCTGTAGAGGATTGTGTATCCCTGCAACACTCCATGGATGCTGTCCAGGGGCGGAGATTCCCACTTGACAAGGAGAGTCTCTGATGTCATCGGTGAACATTGGAGGTTTTTGGGAGGTTCACTGGGGACTGAGGAAAGAGAATGTTTGATTTATCTCATTTCTGAACTAGAAGTACAAAAAACAATTCTAAACCTTTATTTAAAACAAAAATGTACTTGATGTTAATAATTACATTTACATGTCAGCTTTAACCACGAGAACTCAATCAGCGTGACGTTATAGTCCTCACCCAGGTGAATTTTTTGTATCTCTCTATTTTTGCTATACACATGAAGCAGATGGTTAGTTATAAAGTAAATCTTTATAATACCAAATTGTGTGTATAGCTAAAACCCTAAATAAAATATAACATAAGCAAAACAAAGCATAAATTGCACAATAAAAATGGTCATAAACAGAAATGTAGAACAACAGCAATAATAAACAGAAAATTAGACTTCTTAGATTTTGAGACAGAGTTGCTCAACACCATTTACTGGATGTTTCTCTAAGGTTCACAATAATTTTTATGGAGCTATTTATTTTACATCCATAACATCTGTTTTTATTCAGGTATTTTGATTGATGTGGGGAATAGTATGCGTTAAGATCTTATCTGTTTTTTCATCACAGTTTTAATGTATCATCATATCATTTTAGTCACTGATTTGTTTATTTTTGCTCCTCTGATCTTTTTAATAAATTTTACACATCATCTTTTCATAACTGTATATTGTTTATTGAACATTATATTATACATATAAGTTATTTGATGTCACCACCTCATAAACACTTAACACATGTAAAACAAAAAACAGACTTTGAAGCCATAATTTCGAGTTGTATCAGAAGTCTCTTGATAAAGGTGTTGAAAGATAAAATATTATTGATTGGAAAAAGTCGTACCTATTTCTTAATTTTAAGGGAAAGTATACTGTTTCTGTAATAAAATAAGTTTTTAATATTATTGTTATTTTTAAGGTACAAAACATTTTTTATAGATAGCCCATTGTGTAGTTTTGTATTTAACAACAAACACACACAAGTTAAATGAAGTTATTAAAAGTAGTACACAAACCATCTTCTAGAGTTCGAACCACCACTTCATCAGAACGAGGACCAGCACCCATTGAGTTGTAAGCCTGGACTAAGATTGTGTAGCTTGTAAACTTCTCGAGTTGTGAGAGTACAACCTCCTCTCGGGTGTGTTTGCCCACTTCCAAGTTTTTATACAGGTAAGGAGCATCAGAGTTATGTACCTTATAGCCCACATAGTACCCCTTTAGAGGTCCATTCCACAGTTCCCTTTCTGGTGGCTAAAAAATATATGAGCAAGTCTTCACCATTATAATGCATTCTCCTTTGTTTTTGCTCATGGATTATTAGAATTATAAACCGTTTCATCATTATTCATCTAAATTGTTGATGTCACTACTCCATACACACTTGACACGTGTACAACAAAAAATATATTTTGAGCCAAAATTTGGATTTGTATCAGAGTTAAAACTGTCGTATAGTCCCTCGATAAAGGCATATAATAGAAATGTTGAGACATAAACTATTCTAGAGAACAAAAAGCCATACCTATTTCTTAATTTTAATGGAAAGTATATTATTTTCACAAAATGTATTTTTTGGAAGTTTATTTCATGTTCAATAACCTTTACATGTAACAATTATTATTTTGTTGCAAGCATAAACACAATTGCCGAAAATACTGATTATATCAGAGGCATATTCTCATCCTTAATTCAGGTCTTTATAATCATTTTTACAAAGTTCAATTTTTCATTAAAAGAAACGAACAACATTTTTTATTTGTATACTGTTATATTTTAAACATTAAAACAAATTACAGTCATTGTTGTCACGCACAAATGTTTTTTGTGTAAGATTTGATGAGCACAACTTTCGAGATATTATAAGATGCAGATATTTTATTTTACTTTGGAGAGCTGTGAAAAATATGTCAAGAAGGGATTGTTTTTAATTTTTTTTAACAAAATGAAAAGAACACTATTATAGTAAGTTTAAACAAACCTGCCATGTAACATGAACAGTCTGAGAGTCCACAGCTTCAGCCTTTACTCCTTGAGGAGGACCACCTGGAACTGGAAATTTAAAAAAATCCAGTAGGCTTATATAAGTCATTTATGAATACAACAAATGCTAATATTGTAAGTTGGCTGTGTTTAAATAAATAAATAAACAGCATTTATGGATCCACTATAACAAATCTAAACATTACCAATAATCCCATTAAAACCTTACTTCACGTAAACATTACCAATAATCCTATTAAAACCTTACTTCACGTAAACATTACCAATAATCCCATTAAAAACCTTACTTCATGTAAACATTACTAATAATCCCATTAAAACCTTACTTCACGTAAACATTACCAATAATCCCATTAAAACCTTACTTCACGTAAAAATTACCAATAATCCCATTAAAATCTTACTTCACGTAAACATTACCAATAATCCCATTAAAACCTTACTTCACGTAAACATTACCAATAATCCCATTAAAACCTTACTTCAAGTAAACATTATCAATAATCCTATTAAAACCTTACTTCATGTAAACATTACTAATAATCCCATTAAAACCTTACTTCACGTAAACATTACCAATAATCCCATTAAAACCTCACTTCACGTAAACATTACCAATAATCCCATTAAAACCTTATTTCACGTAAACATTACCAATAATCCTATTAAAACCTTACTTCACGTAAACATTACCAATAATCCCATTAAAACCTTACTTCATATAAACATTACCAATAATCCCATTAAAACCTTACTTCACGTAAACATTACTTACAAAGTCACTATAACTAGTCTTCATGTAAACATTACTTATAAAGTCACATTACTTAAAGCCACCGGAACCCGTCTTCATGTAAACATTACTTATAAAGCCACTAGGATCTCTCTTTATGTGAATGTTACTTGTAAACAGAGAAGAAGCTTTCCACACTATTTATAAATTCATTATATTTCTCATATATAAATGCTTTAATTCTTCATATCAACATTGCATTGTAAGTCTACTAGAAAAAACTGATACTATGAAACAACTGACGACCAAAATATTCTTTACTATTGTGAATTATCATACGTTAGTTTCATTCATCAACACTATTATATTTAACAAGTGAGAACAAGTATGTACTGAACTTGTGTTTTATTATATTCTATGAGAGTAAGAGAAGCATGTACCTTCTTCAGTTGTGATGACAGACACTTCTTCACTTGATGGTCCTATTCCAACACCATTCTCTGCACTCACTTTACATCTATAAGACTGAGCGGGCCTCAGCCCTTTCAGCGTGGCTGTACTCTCAGTTCTGTCCACTGTTAGGTTGATTACATGATTCTGCCAGCCTAATAAGAAAAAATAACCAATTATGCTGAGGATGAAGGATGCAACAGGATTATGTCTTTAAAAAATAACCAGTTCTGCTTGGGATGAAGGATGCAACAGGATTATGTCTTTAAAAAATAACCAATTCTGCTTGGGATGAAGGATGCAACAGGATTATGTCTTTAAAAAATAACCAGTTCTGCTTGGGATGAAGGATGCAACAGGATTATCTCTTTAAAAATAGCCAATTCTTCTAAGGATGAAGGATGCAACAGGAATACGTGTTTAATGTTTTAATATATATATATAGAGCTGTATTTCATTAACAAGAGAGAAAAGATATAACGTTATAAATGTGATAGTTAGTTACCTATCACCTTTGCAACATGTTTCACAGATTTAATGAGCTCAAAAAACTGTTTTATTTCAGTGTTGGTATATACATTCTACTGCTGTTCATTGGAACACTGATGGCTACTACATTTCAGCAAACCAAAGTTTTAATAGAGTGTCAAAAACCATAGAAGTAATTGAAAATGAAATTAGTGAACAAACAGTAACCATGTTATTAAACTTATTCTGAAAGCTGAATTACCTTGACTTGGTGAACATTGCAAGATGTATCGTGTTATATTGCTGTTTCCATCAAATGGAATTGACCATCCAATTACAGCTGAGCGGCTTTTCTTTTCCAATACCTTAACTTCCCTTGGCAAATCTGGTGGTTCTATAGAGATAAAAAACAATAACTAACTATCATTACCATGTTAAAGATTCATTCAAACAGTCATGGTTGTGATAAATTACATCCAGTAAGTTGTCATGAGTTCCATGTGTTAAATCTACACTTAAGAATATGGTTTGTCTCATTTAGTGAACTTTAAAGCTCTGTGTTTACACTAAATATTCAAACATCATCTTGAAACCAAGCAATGAAAGCACTGTCTATGATGGCATACCGTTTATGATGTGGTTATGATCAAATGTAAAACCATGTGCCATTAAATAGTCATTTCTAATTAGCCATTATTTACCACCAGTGTCTATCATGCATCATATCCAACATATATATAAGTTAATTATAATTAATGGAAACATATATATCTTAGACAGACAAGATTTTTTTGTTTGTCCATGTAGTCAAAATGCTTATTTTTTTCCAACTTTTCTGTTTATGCTTCTATAAAGAGTATGTAGACACAGTTAATAGTTCTAGTAGAATAACATGCCAGCTTTATGGCAGTGGTAAAGAGAAATGTTGGGAAAATAAAAACTTTCATTTTTTGGAGCTAAAATTATATCCAAGCTCTATAATACCAATACTTTTTACATTGAACAGTGTTTAAATCTAACACCTTTTAAAACACAACTTAATGTTTACTTACAACAAACATAATACCTATAACATCCACCAACCTTGTACAACAAGCATGACTCTGGTATCATGATGACCAAAAGAATTTGATACATGGCAAGTAAAGTTTGCCGAGTCTTGTCTATCCGCAGCTAGGATGGTAATTTCTGATGAAATTTCCTTCTTGCCTACTTGTTCTCGAAGATTGAATCTTGGGTAGGTAAGAGTTTTACTAGTTAATTAATATTGATACAACACAGGTATTCTACTGACAAAAGAATACTTCTGAAATTTTATTTCAAAGATTAAGTTTGTGTTTTTTTCTTATATCATCATTTCTTCTATTGTCAATAGATAAAATTGTTTGATTTTAGGTTATAGTAATAGACATGAGACTTGAATTCTTGATTTACACTGATTTATGACCCAAGGAGATTTGCAGCATAAAAATGTTAATTTTAAGATCAACTTCAATTTATACTCTCTAAGTTTATCATTGGGGGAGAAAATGATATGATGATTCTGTAGATTTGATGTAAAAAATGTGAATGTACTTAAGTCCTTAAAATGCTAAAAATAATGGACTTCTGACAGAAACAAACCGTAAAGCATATAACTGTTCCGTAAACACACACAAAAAATATGTAAAATATTTTTGAATAAATAAGGTAGTTTGAGAAATTAGCCAAAAATGCTTCTTAGTCTTTCAAACCAGAGGAATAAGATATATTCCAATGAATAGTAAGAACCTAATAATGACCTGTTAGAACAAGACCTGAATTCATAAGTTTCTTTTCCAGGAATATTTAGTTAAACAAAGGTAGAAGTTTCTTGTTGTTATAATTAGGGCATTGATGCATTGTGTTTATGAAAACTAACCAAGGAAAATGGGTCAGCAAAGAGAATCCAATGTGAATTTGTGATTCTTGGCTGCTTTGAGATTTCTGAATAGTCAAAGTAAGAGTAAATTTCCTAACCTAAAGCTTGAAATCACTTTTATAAGAAAATTTGGGTTATGAACCACTAATCTAGTTTGTGTTTGAGAAACAACATTAAAATATTGTTGAATAAGTGTCATTCCTCAAGATTTGAGAAGAAAATCTTGGATAAATAATAATCAAGAATAAATTGAAATGTCTAAATAAAAACTTTTTTTTTAGTTTATTTTCTGTGACATTTCTTTACTGCCTTATGAAGGGCATTTACTTGAAACGTTGCAGAAAATATACCAGAGAACGTTTTCATTTAGATATTTCAGTTTATTCTTTATTATTATTTATCCAAATTAAGATATGATTGATAACATAACATACTTACATATTTTCAGCAACATTCTATTGGGTGTATATATTCCAGTATCTCAGTAAATGATAAGCCATGTTGGCTGTGTAACTTTGATTTTAAAACTTGCTCATGTTAAAAGTAATTAGAAAACACCTAACAATGAAACAAGCTCATTGATTATTTTACTGCCATTCAGCTCAATGATTCTCAAACATTTTAGTCGTGTTCCCCCTTTTCTTCTTTGTAATACACTTGCCCCTCCCCCTCCTAGAAAAAAATAAGACTAAAAGAAGAAGCATTTTCCTGATGTTTCTCGCACCCCACAGTTTGAGAACCACTGATTTAGTGCATGTTTTTCTAAAATTCTCTGAAACTAATTATTTGAATTATGTCACATTTATTCCATTTCAACATTGTATGATCAAATAATTTCACTGAAACAGAAATTAATTTACCGAGTATGTTGTTTTAGGTTTCAGAGTAGTGACACTTAAAATTCTGCATAAAATTGCCCTATCTAAGCATATTTGTTAAGAGGTAATTACACACATAAAAAACTAGTCACATTGAAACACCATCTTTTAAATCCAGAAATGTCAGTAACTATATGATAATGAAGAAAAGAACTGATGCAACAGTTCTGAAACGTTTGATTAACCAACCCGTTCATGTGGTTTGTTAACTAGTTTCTTGACTTATATGCAGAGCATGTGTTTTGATTAAAACATTGAATTAAAAACATTATTCTTCTGAAGTAAAGCCATGAAAATCCAAATAAAAATATCCAAAATATAATACATTATATTGGTAATAATTTGAAGCTTTTATTTTTTCCAACATTATGAAAAATGCTTGAATGAATCCAATTTTTTAGGCTCTAGAGAGAGAGAATGAAAAATGATAACTGTATTTGAATAAAATGGAAATTACTTTGTTCTTGGCCTACCTTGGGTTGTTAGAAGGATTCAGTCGCTGGCCATTGACACTCCAAACAATGGTCATGGGATGATCTCCAGTAGCACGGCATTTCAATTTGACTTCCTTTCCCTTGGTGGCCTTCTTGCTTCTGAACTTGGTTTCAAAACGTGGCGGGACTTAATGTGAACATACATCATATATGGCATATAGCAATAAACAGCAACTTCAAATCATTACCAGTAAGAAACAAGACTGTAGCAGACACACACATGTAACTGAATCAAAGGGATGGTCAAAGTTTACTTGAGCCACACACACACACAAAAGATTCATACAGCTGGCAGCTAACTTCAGCAACAAAAAAAGAAAGAATTAGAAATACTTAACATGCTGTAAAAGTTTAAATAAAAGCATAGATAATAACTTTTCATCACTAAACTATTAAGTATTATGAATATGTTTTGTGTAACTTTGCTGGATTACATTGATGTAGGGTAAATGGTTCTAGAAGCTGTAAAATATGTATTCACTGATGTGTCAATTCCTTTAGTGATATATTCAAGTTAAACTAAATACAAGCATAAACTTTATAGTAACTTTGTAAAGAAATAGAATTATATTCATATATATTTATACTTCCACTTTTAAATGAGAAACATAGTTGGTAAAAATACAGTCCTAAATTTGAAAACAAAAAAAAATTCATGACTTAAATACTTAATTAACGATAAATGAACAGAGATTTAACAGTGTAACAATAACACCTAGATACACCATTAAACCTCTGTCTATTCATCGATAATTATGTTTTAAATTAGCATCTAGATATGCTATTAAACTTCTGTCTATTCATCGATAATTAAGTTTTTAATTAACACAGTTAAAAACTTAATTATCGATGAATAGACAGAAGTTTAATAGCATATCTAGATGCTAATTTAAAACATAATTATCAATGAATAGACAGAGTTTAATGGTGTATCTAGGTGTTAATTAAAAACATAATTATCGATGAATAGACAGAGGTTTAATGGTGTATCTAGGTGTTAATTAAAAACTTAATTATCAATGAATAGACAGAGATTTAACAGTGTAACAATGTGTTAATTAAAAACTTAATCATCGATGAACAGACAGAAGTTTAATAGTGTATCTAGATGCTAATTTAAAACATAATTATCGATGAATAGACAGAGGTTTAATGGTGTATCTAGGTGTTAATTAAAAACTTAATTATCGATGAATAGACAGAAGTTTAATAGTGTATCTAGGTGTTAACTGGTCAATATAACAAGTCAAACAGAAAAATTAAGCTATACCTTTTCTTGAAGTAATTAGTTTATGATGTTATTTCAAACATTTAAAAAATTATGAGTTGATATTTTAAGTAAAGGTTTCTGTCCACTTTATTTTTTATTTCTTGATTTCTAAAATTTTGAAGATGTAAAATTAGAAATACAAATTAAGCACAAGTTTAATCTTTTAATAACGATTTCACAAGTATAGGAAATAAAAACTCACTTTTAGAATAGTTCTCAGTGTTACGAAACTCAAAATATAATATATGTATAAATACACAAAGCATGTTTTATATGGCAACAATATTTTAATTCACTATGGTATTTACATTACTTTCTTGGTTCATCACTATTTTTTATATTTTAGCTATATCTATACTTTTATTTATTTATGTGTTGTGTGATTGAAATGGGTTTTTTGGGAGTAAGTTGCTTTTAAGATTCTATTTCAATAGACAGAAGTGTGTAGCACATAATTAAGTACATTATATTAAGCTAATATTTGTGTTATAAATCTCTCAAGATTTTTACTTTGTTTTTGTAATACACGTGCAGATTATAAATTAAAGCTGTGACGATTACTGAGACAATTTAATCCAATTCAATTTCCCATAAAAACTGATTTCAAAATCTTAAAATTGATAATCATTTCTATCCAGAAATAGAAAGAATAATTATGTTTGTGTACAAAAGTTTATCCCATAACATTTAACTGATTAAATATCCAATTACACTGAGTAATTGCAGTAATCCTTACATGTCACATAACTTATGATAGGTGTAAGCCGTACATACTGGATTGCGTTTTTTACAGTCATTCACATAATATAACACAAATTGACCCACTAAACCAAGAACAAATCCATGCAGATGTATTGTTTCTAAGAATGGGTGTAATATATTCGTAATAGTGTCTGTACTTAGTTTAACTATTTCTATATCTTTGTCATGTTTTCTATTGTTTATATTTTAATGATTTTTTGATTCAATTATATGAAAATGATTAATCAATTCCAAAATCATTTCAGCTTATAGTTAATATAGGATAAAAGATGTATGTAATGAAAGTCTTGTAAGTTCTTGATGTCCATTTTTATGATGATGATGATGATATAATCTGTACATGTAAAATCAAATATATATATATATATATATACTCCAATTTTTGTAATACGTATAAATATATATACACATGGCTTAAGGTCATCTACTTATTGCAAAAATAAGAAACCTGTAACTTGAGTGTTTTCGAAAAGGTAGGCCTTTCTTCATCAGGAGCAAACTCGATTCTATTTATAGTATTCATCTTTACTCATGTGAATGTGTAACCAGTCACGTTGTTAAGATTTTATAATTTACAAACATTTCTTTATTTTAATTGTTGATATTTATTGTGTTTCACAACAGGATTACATTTTCTTGCCATGACTGAATTCACCTGTCACCTGCTGTCTGTTGGATAGCGAATAACGAAACTTTGACACACATCATTTGACAAGCCTATCCAGAATACAGGTAGGAATTTTCCTAACTTACTATAGTTGTTTTTGTGTATAAGAGGAATAAAGTATTATATATTCTAGTAAGCATAATCGTTATATCAGGTTCATAGTCTTATTTTTTTCAACATGTTTTTATTAATTTAAAAAAGTCTGAATTTTCTAATACAATAAATTATTGCATATAAAGAAATAAGTTGACAACTCGTTCTTTTTTTATTGTTTATTTTAAAGTCCAATTTTTTGTAAACTGGAAAGTGCTTCAATTTCTTGATGTCCTTTAATAAGTTAATATTTGATTAACATCCCCATTTTTAAAAAATTTAATTCCTGTAAATTAAAGATTACATATTTATGTGTTAAAGTGTATTTAGTTCTTTTTTCTCCTGCTGATACTGTAGATACTAAAGATGAGTTACACAAATTACCACATGAATATTATACAATTATTTCTCCAAGAAACAACATACTTTATATGCTAAAAATATATTATTTTGGATGTTATGAAAAGTGGCTTGGTATTAATACTCGTAAAATTTTACTTATTTTTTTAAACCTACGTTGTTATGATAATTTTTAGAAATGTTTAAAGTATTGAAATACTGTCTTAATTTATATAAAGAATATTTTAAAAATTAATTGTAATAAATTTGTAAATATTGCTTATACTTGTCATTTAATATTTTATATATAAGTGGGTAACTGAATTTTATAGATTATTATTTGATTTCAGGAGTTTCCAACTTCATAAACACGGGTGTAGATATATAACATTAAATCCAGCAATTGTTGATATTAATGAAAAACTTGTATACTTATAACTCCAAGTTATGCTGTTTAAATAATTTTTCATGTCATTCGAATAACAGCAAGTTTCTGGATAATGATACACTTGGGTGTTAAAAAAGACTAATTTCAGTTAAAGGAGTAAGGATTTATGTCTTAAATTTTTTCATTCAAATGAACTTGTACTTAAATCTCTTTTACATGTTTACATCTGTGACTTTTGGTGGTTGTATAAATGTGTACAAAAGTATTAGATAGGTGTTAGCTTTTTCTCATGGTTTTTATTTCTAATAACGTAACTAAGTATTTATAAGCAACTGTGTCAACTATCTTACCATGAACAGTAAGGAAGACCACTTTACTTAAACCCGATTCAATTCCATTGTTGGCCTGGCACGAGTAGAAACCCCCATCTTCTGGCTGTGTGTCCTTGATAAGAAGGGAGCCGTTGGGGTATACTTCATAATGTGGTCCACTGGCAATGGCCGAGTAATGTCCAGGAATGATTCCTGCAGGAAACAAGTGATACATAATGCTGTTATGTGTTAGTTATTTTCAGACTTTTAACCGTTGATCTGAAAACTACTGTATGAAGATTTTCTATTCAACAGTATCCAAAATAGTCTGTCAGAGTTTTGTTTTATATCATTATACCAAGCAGAAACTACATAGTATACCACAGGTTGGTATAATCGTGTTTTATAATATTATACCAAGTAGAAACTACATAGTGTACCACAAATTGGTATAATCTTGTTTTATAATATTATACCAAGTAGAAACTACATAGTGTACCATAAGTTGGTATAATCTTGTTTTATAATATTATACCAAGTAGAAACTACATAGTGTACCACAGGTTGGTATAATCTTGTTTTATAATATTATACCAAGTAGAAACTACATGGTGTACCACAAGTTGATGCAATCTTGTTTTATTACATTATACCAAGTAGAATCTACACAGTGTACCACAAATTGGTATAATCTTGTTTTATTACATTATATCAAGTAGATACTACATAGTGTACCATAAGTTGGTATAATCTTGTTTTATAATATTATACCAAGTAGAAACTACACAGTGTACCATAAGTTGGTATAATCTTGTTTTATAATATTATACCAAGTAGAAACTACATAGTGTACCACAAGTTGGTATAATCTTGTTTTATAATATTATACCAAGTAGATACTACATAGTGTACTGCACGTTGGTATAATCTTGTTTTATAATATTATACCAAGTAGAAACTACATAGTGTACCATAAGTTGGTATAATCTTGTTTTATAATATTATACCAAGTAGAAACTACATAGTGTACCACAAGTTGGTTTAATCTTGTTTTATAATATTATACCAACTAGAAACTACATAGTGAACCACAAGTTGGTATAATCTTGTTTTATCATTATACCAAGTAGAAACTACCCTTTTTTTATAAATATTCATGGGATGCTACATTTAAACACTTAATTATAATTAGTGTAATCTCCACAGACAGATTAACCCAGTGTTGATAGAAAGTAAATGTTTAGACACAGAATAATTAGTGTAATCTCCACAGACAGATTAACCCGTGTTGATAGTTAAATGTTTAGACAAAGAAAAATTAAATGTTTAGACACAGAATAATTAGTGTAATCTCCACAGACAGATTAACCAGTGTTGATAGTAATAATTAGTGTAATCTCCACAGACAGATTAACCCAGTGTTGATAGAAAGTAAATGTTTAGACACAGAATAATTAGTGTAATCTCCACAGACAGATTAACCCGTGTTGATAGTTTTTTGTCTAAACATTTAATTACTATCAACACTGGTTAATCTGTCTGTGGATATTACACTAATTATTCTGTGTCTAAACATGTTATATTTTGTAAGGACATTATACTAATTAATATACGTCTAAACAATTAACATAACATAAAATTTAAAGAAGGAAAAACAAACTTAATGGTCCATCTAGGCCATTCCATCCGCTCAAATAAACTGAAGAAAATATCAAAGCCAATCTTTTTCATTCAAGTCCCTTCAGTTTGCTGCATTCACCACATCTGAAGGAAACCCATTCCAAAGGCCAACCACTTTGTTAGAAAAATAGAGCTGTTATAACCGATGATGACTCCCAACTTGCCAAAATTTATATTTTTGTCCCCTTGTCCTTCTATTCTCACCATATAGGATGAAAAAGATGTTGCATCAACAGTATGAATTCCCTTAACAATATTAAATACCTCAATCAGATCAAACATAACATGAGTGATTGTGTCATAACTTCCAAAATGTCAACTACCTACAAGCAAGCGAAAGTTCAGGGAAAATATAAAAGTTCTGGGAAAACCAGTTTCATAGGATGATTGCCATGTCCGGGAAAACCAGTTTCATAGGATGATTGCCAAGTCCGAGAAAACCAGTTTCATAGGATGATTGCCATGTCCGGGAAAACCAGTTTCATAGGATGATTGCCAAGTCTGGGAAAACCAGTTTCATAGGATGATTGCCATGTCCGGGAAAACCAGTTTCATAGGATGATTGCAAAGTCCGGGAAAAACAATTTC